GCTGGCCACTTACAAACCGCACTGTGCCAAGGGCTAGGGAAGATCTGATTAAAGCAGCATTAGAAATGGTTAGGGCAGCCCCAGGAGAGGCAGGGCCGAGCCAGCTGGATGTTGCTTTGAGTCAGCATTTCTTCCAGACAACCTCCACCAGCAGGGCTATTACAGAATCCCAACTGGATCTTAAAGATGCCATCCCACAGGAGAACCCTGCATCCAGGGTGAGCACCCTCCATTTCCAGCTCAGGTGGGTGAATCTGACCCAGGAATCTTTTCCTAAAATTATATTGCACAGCCATATTGTTATGTATTTTCTTGTATTCCACACTCTTGCCGTTTAACGTTCCATCTATCTCCTATTTTTAGTTTTCAGAGAAGATGAACGTAAAGCGTAAAAGCTGGATTTTGGCTGGGAATGCTCCTAAACATTGTAGCATTCACAGTAGGGTTTGTTTTCGTTCATAAAAAGTTAGGGATCATTTGGATTCACATGCAGGTTCAGATTTCAAACATGCCTGTACTGTAATCTGTGGGTATTTTGATCGAGGTCTTTAGTTCAGGGCTATCACTAGTTTTCTAGCTTCTGATCATTAGAAAATTCCATTGCTGCAATTTTGCCGTACTCGGAGCTACTGACTGTACAGTGACCTTGTCTTGTCAGTGTCCACCACTGTTTAAAGTTCTTTTGGGCTCCTGCTGGGGACTTCGTTTCTCTCCAAGTTTTCCTTCTCCGCAGGAGATTCTTCCTGGTTTTAAAGAGTTTTAAACATCCATCATGAATAATCTGTGACATTTCCAAGAAAAGCCTGCCTGCTTCTGACTTCCACGCACACAAAAAACACACAGTGCTCAAGCCTGGAAACTGAAGGGCCAAACAGAAATTAACTGTCGACCTTTTGAACTGCACTAATTCTGAAATGAGAGGGAGTCAGTGATCTGTTCAAAGAATCCCTGGTTAAAAAATCAGTATTTCAATATATAGATTGGACAATAATTCCTTTTAAAAACGTTATTAAATATTTGCTCAGACTTAGACATACAGGGCCAGAGCCTCAGCTGGTGTAAATCAGCATAGCTCAGTTGTAATCAAAATTATACCAATTTACACCAGCTGACAATCTGACTCAATTTATTCTTAGGCAGAATCATATTCTCCAGTTTGTATTTCTTGGAAAAGTTCTCAACTGTGGTAGATCTCTACATATTTAGACACTGCCCCTAGCAAAGAATTCTAAACATTTCAGCCTCCAGTTCAAAACTTCCCTCCTTATTCCACAGATTTTAATGGCAGAAGGGATCATCATGGTTACCTAGTCTGACTTCCTGCATAACACAGGCTATACAAGTTCACACAGTAATTTCTGAATCAAAGCCATAACTGCTGGTTGGGCTACTGCAGCATGTCTTGTAGAAAAACATCCAGTCATGGTTTAAAGACTTCAAGTGCTGGAGAATAATTTTCACTTCTGCCACCACGGCTTCTTCAGGATTCAAACTCAAACCCACCGAGGCTATAAGCAAGATACAATTTGCTAAGTTAGGCAGTCCTTCACAGACTTACTCCCATTGCATCATAGACTTTGCCTCTCTGGGCCTCTCCCAGGCTCCTCTGCTTATCCAATTTGGCCTCCTTTCTTTCTCTTCAGCTCTGGTCAGTTTCACCACTACCAATCCTAGAGCCTTCTCCTCTGCAGTTCATGCTGTGTAGAACAGCCATGTTATATTTCTTTACCTCATTGGCTCTCCATCTAATTTCAGTACTCTTGTTTTTTCTCCCTTAATATCTCTCTTCCTTTCTGTTGTATTTCTAGCTGTATAATGTTTACAGATAACTCCATAAACCTTGATGGATGCAGTTTATATGCAAATGCCATTCCATATTATTAATATTATTTATTTGTATTATCATAGCACTTACGAGCCCCAGTCATTTACCAGGACTCCATTGTGCTAGGTCTGTACAAACACAGAACAAAAAGACAGTCTCTACCCCAAAGAGCTAACAATCTAAGTGTAAGACAAGAAACAATAGATGGATACAGACAGATGGGAGAGTACAAGGAAACAATGAGACAGTATTGGTCATCATGACCGCCAGTGGTCTCAGCAAAGCAGCCGCCTCATCATTATCCAGTTTTTGTAGACATCACAGCAAAGTAGAGGTGCTGGCTTGGGTGGGGATAGACTGTGATGGGCCTTGAATGTGAAGATAAGTATAAGGACCTGATGTTTCATTTCTTATTGAAGCTAAATCGCACCTGGAGCTGCAGCTAGCGAGAGATGTCAAGAGTAACAAGAAGGGTTTCTTCAGGTATGTTGGCAACAAGAAGAAAGCCAAGGAAAGTGTGGGCCCCTTAATGAATGAGGGAGGCAACCTAGTGACAGAGGATGTGGAAAAAGCTAATGTACTCAATGCTTTTTGCCTCTGTCTTCACTAACAAGGTCAGCTCCCAGACTGCTGCGCTGGGCATCACAACATGGGGAATAGATGGCCAGCCCTCTGTGGAGATAGAGGTGGTTAGGGACTATTTAGAAAAGCTGGACGTGCACAAGTCCATGGGGCCGGACGAGTTGCATCCGAGAGTGCTAAAGGAATTGGCAGCTGTGATTGCAGAGCCATTGGTCATTCTCTTTGAAAACTCGTGGCGAACGGGGGAAGTCCCGGATGACTGGAAAAAGGCTAATGTAGTGCCAATCTTTAAAAAAGGGAAGGAGGAGGATCCTGGGAACTACAGGCCAGTCAGCCTCACCTCAGTCCCCGGAAAAATCATGGAGCAGGTCCTCAAAGAATCAATCCTGAAGCACTTACATGAGAGGAAAGTGATCAGGAACAGTCAGCATGGATTCACCAAGGGAAGGTCATGCCTGACTAATCTAATCGCCTTCTATGATGAGATTACTGGTTCTGTGGATGAAGGGAAAGCAGTGGATGTATTGTTTCTTGACTTTAGCAAAGCTTATGACATGGTCTCCCACAGTATTCTTGTCAGCAAGTTAAAGAAGTATGGGCTGGATGAATGCACTATAAGGTGGGTAGAAAGTTGGCTAGATTGTCGGGCTCAACGGGTAGTGATCAATGGCTCCATGTCTAGTTGGCAGCCGGTGTCAAGTGGAGTGCCTTAGGGGTCGGTCCTGGGGCCGGTTTTGTTCAATATCTTCATAAATGATCTGAAGGATGGTGTGGATTGCACTCTCAGCAAATTTGCGGATGATACTAAACTGGGAGGAGTGGTAGATACGCTGGAGGGCAGGGATAGGAAACAGAGGGACCTAGACAAATTGGAGGATTGAGCCAAAAGAAATCTGATGAGGTTCAATAAGGATAAGTGCAGGGTCCTGCACTTAGGATGGAAGAACCCAATGCACAGCTACAGACTAGGGACCAAATGGCTAGGCAGCAGTTCTGCGGAAAAGGACCTAGGGGTGACAGTGCACGAGAAGCTGGATATGAGTCAGCAGTGTGCCCTTGTTGCCAAGAAGGCCAACGGCATTTTGGGATGTATAAGTAGGGGCATAGCGAGCAGATTGAGGGACGTGATCGTCCCCCTCTATTCGACATTGGTGAGGCCTCATCTGGAGTACTGTGTCCAGTTTTGGGCCCCACACTACAAGAAGGATGTGGATAAATTGGAGAGAGTCCAGCGAAGGACAACAAAAATGATTAGGGGTCTGGAACACATGACTTATGAGGAGAGGCTGAGGGAACTGGGATTGTTTAGTCTGCAGAAGAGAAGAATGAGGGGGGGATTTGATAGCTGCTTTCAACTACCTGAGAGGTGGTTCCAGAGAGGATGGTTCTAGACTATTCTCAGTGGTAGTAGAGGACAGGACAAGGAGTAATGGTCTCAAGTTGCAGTGGGGGAGGTTTAGGATGGATATTAGGAAAAACTTTTTCACCAGGAGGGTGGTGAAACACTGGAATGCATTACCTAGGGAGGTGGTAGAATCTCCTGCCTTAGAAGTTTTTAAGGTCAGGCTTGACAAAGCCCTGGCTGGGATGATTTAATTGGGGATTGGTCCTGCTTTGAGCAGGGGGTTGGACTAGATGACCTCCTGAGGTCCCTTCCAACCCTGATATTCTATGATTCTATGATAAACTCTGGTATATATCATCAGCAACACACACACACAAAAAGTTTAATGAACTGTAAAATGGGTAAGTGAAAAATCATAGCTTTACAGTATAAATACATAGTACTATGTATCAATAACTGCAGAACACGAGTCTCAAATTAGAGTAACTTTTTGGCTGTAAAAGAATGGATATCATCACTTCTTTCTCCGTCATGGTAAATTACTCTGGTCACGACTTTAGCATATTTTCAGGGCAGTGTGTTTCAGAGGATAGAAGACAGGACCGGGAGTCAGGACACTTGAGTTTTATTCCCATTTTTCTCACAGACGGCCTGTGTTAATAACTGGGGCAAGCCAGTTCTTTTCTAGGTACCAGAGTTTCCCCATCTGTAAAGTGGGGAGAATATTGCTTACAAACCTTTGAAAAACAGTTTGAGATCTTGGGAAGAAAAACACTGCATAAATGCTAAGCATTATTATTTTAGTTTCTAATTCAGGAAAGCATTTTAATATGTGCTTAACTCCCATTGAATCAATGGAACTTTAAGATATGCATAAAGTTAAGCATGCGCTGAAGTGCCCTTTCTGAAGAAGTATGTTGTCCTGAATCCTGCAATTACACATTTTTAAACAAATAATTTTACAAATGTATTGACAAAAGTAGAGATAAGGTGAGAAAAGTGGTATATTAGCAATTCTCAGTGTATTGAACTGTCACAGTCTGGGTTTTATTCTAATGAATAGAAGTGAAGTGCTCTTCAAAGATCCTTGGACAATGTGGAGTTTGAAGCAGCTGAACATTGTCATCAGAAAATCAAACTCTGCTCTCAGAGCCAGAGCTCTTCCCCCAGGCTCTCCTCTCCCCCTCCCCCCATATTTGTATATAGTCAGAGAGGAGAGTCAGGCTTAGTTTGTTCATAAACTCCAGTTCCTGGGCGGACCCCACACACAGCTGGATTTGAAACAGCTGGATCCGCCTTCCCTGCAAGTTTAGCCAGGAGCCTCACAAGCCTGGGAGCTTTGGGTTGGGAGCAAAATAATCACAGACTGGCTGCACTGGTGGAGGATGAATTGATCAAAACTGTGAAGCTGGGTTTCCAGTTGCTGGCAGGATACAGAAAATGGGTTACTGGAAGAGGCTGGGTCTGATTTCTCTACTGCTGCTGTCCTTCTGTGAGTAGAAAAATGTTTCTGGTAGGCAATGTTAAGCAGCATATTCATAGAGTTCATTTATTTTGTCCTTCCTCCAGCAGACAGATAATCATTGATTTCTACCCTAATGACCATTCGCTAGAGGGTTTGAAATAGCTGAGATTTTAGTACAATACTCAAGCAGTAATGCTGGCTTGGAAATCAGCAATAAATTCTCTTCTAACAAATGGTAAACATTAGATTTGGATGTAAGTTTCTGCATGCACTTCTGAGCTGCTCAGAGATGTCAGTGTTTACAGTGCAAAAATATATATATAGGTCAATGTTACTTCTTGGAAGGTTTTATTTTATTTGAGCACAATAAAAGCAACCGAGATGTACAGCTGAATGATTTGACTTCAGCTGTGTCCAGATGCGGAGATGTTTGCAGCATAGATTTTTTTTTTTTGTAATCAGCCCCAGTTTTATGTGCAGGATTAATCAAACTATTAAAGAAAGGGGGTGGGGAGACTCTGCAGCAACATCTGGTTATTCAGCAAACCATTCCAGCACTTCTGTAAAGATTTCTTTGTAATAATACTCTGGTTGGGTTTCTATACCACTCTTAATACTGCAGATAAACTCCCTACACCAGGATTTGAAAATGTACCTCTTATGCTCTAAATTCTCTTGTTTAAATCTTAATGATAGCTTCACGATGAGGAATAGATCTGTATATAAATGGGTGTTATATACACATCCAGTAAGTATGTATACACGTCTCTTTGTATATGCAGCACCTATACGTATGTCTACATACACATCTATATATAGTGTATATTTATAGATTTGTGCAAACACTGGAACTTTCTTATGGTGAAATCTTTTTTAAACACAGATTACTTTTGCTCAATATATAAATTTCACTGACTGGAATTGCTCTTATCTCAATGCAGTGAAGCACTGGGATTTTTATTTCACTTTGTTCACATCCAAGTGAAGTGGTTGTGGGGATCTATCTCCAAATTCACTTTTAGTGGGTCCCAATGTCTACAGAAAAGGGAATGAAATATGATAGAGAGATAATGTGTGTGTGTTCAAATATGACATCATTGCAACTAATGAATCATAGAGAGCCAAACCAGGGATTTGAGTATATATAGTTAGAGTAAGATTTTCAAAGAGTTGCACAAAATTTTACTTGTGATACTAACAATAAGCTGGCAGATAAAACCCTAACTCTTGCTATAACGTAGGGGGGACACGATGTTACATTGGAAAGTGACTATGAAAATAAACCAAATTTTTAGCAGAATTAACTGAAGTACTACAAGGTAGTATTTTAATCACAGTATTGAATTATTGTTGGTAAGAAAGGAAACCTCTAATTATCCTTGAGAAATGCCCAATTTTAAAGTTATTTAATTCATGGTTTTCCTCATAAAAGACAAATTTTTAATCTGAAAAGAGTCAAACCAAAAGATATTACCATTACTAAACTAATCTGAAAGGTTAAATGACTGATATGTCAACAAAGTTAATGTTATTCAATTAATTTTGAGTGTTTAAATATATAATGTCTCAGGGAGGAAAAAGCCAGAATCTCTTTTACTGGATTTAGTTCAACAATGCTATTTTTAAAGTGCTACCTCCTGTTCTCTGATGCATGCAGTTAAGATCAGCTGTACAGTAATGCTGAGATTTTTTAAAGAGTTTAAGGAAATTAGTGCCCAAATCCCATTGTTGTTAATCGGAATCAGGCACCTAACACCCTTAGACTCCTTTGAAATTCTCAGCCCAAATTACCAAATGTTTTAAAATAAGTATTTGATCACCCGTAAAGCGACAAATTCCCCAAACCATGTTGATTAATTGTAAAAGGGGATCTGGATTAACTGTTTAGTGGCAACTGGAAATTAACTCCTCTCAGCATAAATGGCACATCCTTAATCATATAATAAAGAAAATGGGCTGGATTCCATCTCAATTACCAGCGTAATCCCATGAATTTCAGTCTTTATCATCACAAAATAACAGAAATGCAGGGGTGGAAGGGGCGTCAAGAGGTTATGTAGTCCACTTTAGGGACATTACTATGGATTTACACTGGTGCTGTAGAGAACCATATTTGGTGCATTATCAGCTTCTAACAGTCTTTTCCATATTACTTTCATCAGTCACTAGATAATGTAACTGAATATTTTCATCTGTATGTGATGAAAGCAAGGATTGTAGTTTGATGTACAGTTATGAATGTAATAGAGGATTTCCATAATTCTCACTAGTAAATTATATAAAGACACACAAGATTCTGCTCAAAATTTTATCCTTAATATTTTTTCCTTGTTGTGGCTGCTTTTTGAAGAGCATTAAAGCTGAACGTGAAGACAGGAAACTTCTCGGTGGCGTCCCAGCAAAATTTGATACTTGACTACATTATTAACTTACGGAACTCCAGTTCTGGAAAGCTAGGAATCCTTTTGCACATGGAGTGCGGGTTGTGCCCAGTTGTGGAATCCAGATTTTTAAAGGAATATTGACGGAACATTGAAGGGTTCAGAAAAGAGTTACAAGAATGATTCAAGGTCTGAAGAACCTGCCTTACAGTGAGAGGCTAAAGAAGATCCATCTATTTAGTTTATCCAAGAGACAGTTAAGAGGTGACTTAATCAGTCTGTAACGGAGAGAAAATTTCTGATAGTAGAGGGCTCTTTAATCCAGCAGAAAGCCATAATGAGATCCACTTGCTAGAAACTGAAACTAGACAAATTCAAAGCGAAATAAAGTGCAGATTTTTTAAAGTGAGGGTAATTACCCATTGGAACAACATGAATAGTAAGATTGGATCTCTTTCTAAACTGGGAGGAGAGGTAGATACGCTGGAGGGTAGGGATAGGATACAGAGGGACCTAGACAAATTAGAGGATTGGGCCAAAAGAAATCTGATGAGGTTCAACAAGGACAAGTGCGGAGTCCTGCACTTAGGACAGAAGAATCCCATGCACCGCTACAGACTAGGGACTGAATGGCTAGGCAGCAGTTCTGCAGAAAAGGACCTAGGGGTTACAGTGGACAAGAAGCTGGATATGAGTCAACAGTGTGTCCTTGTTGCCAAGAAGGCCAATGGCATTTTGGGATGTATAAGTAGGGGCATTGCCAGCAGATTTAGGGACGTGATCGTCCCCCTCTATTCGACATTGGTGAGGCCTCATCTGGAGTACTGTGTCCAGTTTTGGGCCCCACACTACAAGAAGGATGTGAAAAAATTGGAAAGCATCCAGCAGAGAGCAACAAAAATAATTAGGGGACTGGAACACATGACTTATGGGGAGAGGCTGAGGGAACTGGATTTGTTTAGTCTGCGGAAGAGAAGAATCAGGGGTATTTGATAGCTGCTTTCAACTACCTGAAAGGGGGTTCCAAAGAGGATGGATCTAGACTGTTCTCAGTGGTAGCAGATGACAGAACAAGGAGTAATGGTCTCAAGTTGCAGTGGGGGAGGTTTAGGTTGGATATTAGGAAAAACTTTTTCACTAGGAGGGTGGTGAAACACTGGAATGTGTTACCTAGGGAGGTGGTGGAATCTGCTTCCTTGGAGGTTTTTAAGGTCAGGCTTGACAAAGCCCTGGCTGGGATGATTTAATTGGGGATTGGTCCTGCTTTGAGCAGGGGGTGGGACTAGATGACCTCCTGAGGTCTCTTCCAACCCTGATATTCTATGATTCTACAAAGATATGCTCTAGCTCAACCAAAAGTTATGGGCTTGATGCAGGAATTACTGGGTGAAATTCTAATGCTTGTGTTATACAGGAGGTCAGAATAGTTTATCATAATGGTTCCTTCTGGTCTTAAAATCTATGAATATGTTCTTGGAAATATGTAACTGATGTAGTGACATCTGTCTGCATTTGCAATGGGGCATCTGAGCACCCAAGGAGTGAATGAAGCTCAGGAAGTCCAGCAGGGGACGTGAGCCTCACCAAGAGAAAGCCAAGCTGAGCTAATCGGTGGACTTGGATCTCACCTACGGCAAAGTGAGCCCAAGGATTCTAGAGGGTGTGCATGATCATTCTTGGAATATCTGCACAATATATAGTGAATGCTGTCTCATGTGGGCAGAGCTTATTTTGTGTCTGGAGCTCAGAAAAGTATCTCCCCCCCCCCCCTCGGTTCAACTCCAGGGTAATATTTTGGATGGCCTTTGCTACAAACAACACCCAGCATAATTCACAATTCTGCTGCCTAGATTCTAAAAGCAGCTTGTTGCTAATACTGGGTCAGCTCAGTTTTTTAAATGGACTCACATCATTTGCTTGTGTCACATAAGACTCAGCATAAGAGCCTATACTTTATCAGTAAACCCTCCTGAGAAAGGACTGATTCCAATGGAAGTCACTGATGCTCAGCAGTTCTGTGCAGTAAATAATCAGGTTATTGTCATCCTTGCAATCAGTGACTCTCAATATTGTTGTCTCATGTGATAGTGACTTTCATGGTCCTTTCCTCTCCTGCTTAGCCCCATTTCTGTAGAGTACCCTTTCTACAAGGGTCACAGATGTATATTTTTCTTTTCCTTAACTCAGCTTTCTCATATTAATTCCCAGTATAGGCCACAGTGCATTAGTGTAATATTTTTGTTCATTTTAATTTTGTGTTCCCTTGATTTTAGTAATTTAGAGCCACATTGACCCTTAAATAGGAATAATCCATACAAGGGAGAGGAAACTCCCCGGGCCTAATTCTATTCTCACTTAAACTAGTGTAAAACTGGCATAACTCTACTGACTGCACTGATATCTACCCGCGCCTGCTGACAGCCTGAAATAGTAGCTCTGAGAGACAGATGGACTGCACCTAACCATCCCAATGAGGTGTTAACTCTGAAGCCTAACAGCAGCATAAATGTCAACATTTCAAACTATTTCACTGATGAACAAAGTGTAAGACTTCCTGTAGAAGGACTCCACTCACTTGGCTCCAAGTAAGGGCACTGTCATCTGAGTAGCTGTCATCAGGGTTTTAGCAACAGTCATGGGGCTACT